AGGCAGAGAGGGAGAAGAGGACAACAAACGAGGGGCTGTGACAAACTGTTTCGTCGGAGTTTCACCGACTCATCAGGAGGCTGATATATATATCGATCTATCTTGTCTTTTTTTTTTTTTTTTTTTTTTTTAACACCCCCACCAATTTTAGTGGTGCTGATAAGAGCAGACACCACTAGCACCTGGGGAGAGACTCCATCGATTGGTGGGGAGCACCGCCTGCTGGCTAGCTGGTCCAGCGTCCCTTATACAGACTGAATTTGGCATACATTAGAAAAGATTGTGGAGTGTTCCGGCCAGCATTGATTACCCTGGGATCCAGGGGATTGACTGAGCAGATATTGGAGGGAAGGGGGAACCTCTTCACCCTGAATCCGGCGCCAGATACACAGCTACACACTAGTTCCTCCGTCGCCCTGAGCCAGACTGAAATCATACTATCATCGCCCTTTTTTTAATTACAGATTGACTATTGAAGTAGAACAGAAAGGAGCACACTTGCGGTCTGCCAGTATCAGTCTGCACCAGACCGTCTGATCACTCGTAATTCCTTAGCGGCTACTTGTTCCTGTGGATACCATTCCTCTAGGTACCTGTACTCTCCATATCTGCCCTGTATCGCCWGTCTGCTCCATACCATTGCATATCCACCATCGCCAGCTCGTGGGGCGGGAAGGGGTCGGGAAATTATGTGGCAGGTTGCAGTGGGATCTCCTGGCCCACAGTAGTCCAGTTTCTGAAACAGATACGGTAGTTTCTCCTGAATTCCTCCTGGTTGTCTTCCTGGGTGGGCTTGCCCTCCCATCTAACAGATCCGATCCAGCCCCCATTCTCACTGCCCAACCAGTCTCCAGAAAATCGGTGAATTGCTTGTGTTACATCCTTTGCTGAATGATATAAGTCGAGTTGGATTTTAATTTTTTGCCAGTGAACCATGAGTTCTTGTTGAATGTATTGCCTTATCATCTTTGTTGCCTCTTCCCCAGTTATGCGGACCCGCTCCATAGCATGTATACAACGTTTCCTCCAGAGGGTCCACATGATCGCTCTCCTTCCTAACTTGAACATGTTGTTTTCAAAGGTATTGTCAAGGGGGGAGGACCATGCCTCGCATAATATGGCCCTCCAATCCCATGGCCAGTGAGATTCAGTGCCCAATTGGGTCCAGATCCTATCCCACCATCGCCATGTAAGAACTGCCCTTAGACACTGCATGAATATGTGCTCTATGGTTTCCGGGATTCTGCGAGGGAGAAAGGCAGTGTGGCATGACTTGCACCACGGTAATGCCCGCCCCTTCTGCTCCAGGTATGTGCGATCTATCAACCAGTCATTGGTGGGCAGACAATGGTATTCTATCTGTCATTGAAGAGAGGTCATCTTCGCAGGCCTAGACCTTGTGGCGGTGAACCATCGGATCGGGCAGATTGCCTTTGTCCCTACATTCAAGTGTGACCTCCATCGAGCCTTCACTATTTCTTTTATGTTCACCTTTGGTCGAAGCAGACGATATGTGGCCTTCACCAATAGAGTGTGCAGTTTTAGATTCGTCCCTGACCTGGGTTTTCGCATGGGCACCCACTCCCATTCGTCAGGGTCAAAGGGTAGCTTCATCACGGGGGTGTTTGGCTGATATGCAATCCAAACATCTTTATCCCGAAGCACACGTATCATGTGCAGGTCTGCTGTTCTCCACCATCTCACATCTGGGTGGTACCGGGTGAGTTTATTTTTTTTCCTTATCTAAGTGGAAGAGGTTTACCAACGTTTCGTTTGTTATTTCCTCCACCACATTGCCTGCACTTTTCGGATCCCCCAGTGCAGCTACCCAGTCCCCTTCTATTAGTCGTTGCCCTCTGCCCAGGATGCACACGCATTCAAGGGGGACTGCAGAGGTCAACAAATCAACGTTCTCCTCAATCTTGTGACAGTGTTTTAGTATGGTTCTCAGTTGTGGCCCCGTTTTCCAGTCAACTACTTTTACGTCCCATATGTCCTTTATTCAGATTATGCCTTTTTTTACCCAACTATTCCACGGGGTGTCCGAGCTACGATACACCTTGTTGTACCGGTCTGTTATCCTCCTATTCCCAAAAAGAGGCTGCCACATCACCTTCTCCCACCTGGTTGGTGGGGGTTGATCAGGCAGCGGGAGTTGGCGTCAGGCCCTGATGACTCGGGTCCAGAAGTCGTCTCTGACCAGGTCCGAACGGGCTGTGTCTCAGGTTGGTGGGGGTTGATCAGGCAGCGGGAGTTGGCGCCAGGCCCTGATGACTCGGGTCCAGAAGTCGTCTCTGACTCGGGTCCAGAAGTCGTCTCTATACGGGGGCACCGTGGCACAGTCCAAAAGCGGTCTTCCAGCCAGGTCAATGGGCTTACTCCTTGCGGTGTCTGTGGGGCAAGTTTGGCTATCTGTTCCAGCGCAAGGGCTTGCCATGGGAGGTGCTCGGTAAAAAACAATCTCCTAACCCTTTGACAGTTAATGTTGTGATCTGGGTATCCGGGTCCAGGATCCCTAGGCCCCCTTTGTCCTTAGGTTCGATCACCGATGACCAGGCTACCCTGCTGATAACGTTCGAGAGATCACCATACCTCTTCGCAGTAGGGCTGCTAATTTCCTTTTTAGCGATTGGACGACCTTCTTGTTGAAGGTCCAAATTGCATAATTATACCACAAGGCCGCTAGTACTACACTATTGATCGCGAGCGCTCTGCTGATAAGGGAGGTGTGTTGATCTTTTGCAGTTGGCTAATTTTTCTATAGCAGGCTTACGGATCCATTCATCATTCGATGCGGGCTTACCTAATGCCCGTCAACCTAATTCCCAACACTCTAACCGGGGCCGTATCCGGGAGCCATTTGACCCGTGGCAGCTCCGACGAGCGCACCGCTCGATGGTGGATCCACCACCCCAAGGTCTTGTTTCCCCAGTTGACAGTCATGTATGAGACTGCTGTAAATCGGTCAAATAATCTCATAATCTCTTCCATGTTTGTTGTCGTGGCATCTATCATAAGAGTCAAGTCGTCCGCAAACATCGAGCAAATAGGGATCACATCTTCCGGGATAGCGG